CAAACCCAAGATCATCTGGATTTCCTCCTATGTTATCTTCCAGCAGTTTTATAGTTTTGCATTTTATATTTACATCTATGATCCATTTTTAATTAATTTTTGTAAAGGATATAAGGTCTGTGTCAAGATTCTTTCTGTTTTGTTTTTATTTTTTGCACACAGATGTCCATTTGTTTGTTCTAACACCATTTATTTAAAAGACTATATTTTTCTCCAGATGCCAACTGTTTTCATTTAAAATATGTTCACATTATGACTAGAATTTTCAACTGTCATTCTAATTCCATTCAAAAACTGACACACTGTTACAGTCCTCAAAATTAGTAAGCTAAATAACAAACAGGAATAAAGATAAATATTATTTTTAAGATAGATAAATCCTGCGTATTCAAACATTTTACATCTCTTTTACTCTCTTCAGTCCCATACTTATGTATATGTGTTTAATACTCATGTATGTATCACTTATCTACCTGTTTTGAAGAGTTTTCTACCTTTCTTAGGTCATATTTTTATTCCTTTTCACCATTCCTCTCTTCTATTTTCTACCCCAATGACAGGTATGGAATATAGTTACCTTGATTGACCAAGTTTTATAAATAATCAGGATGGAACTTTGCCTTATTTGGCATTATTCAATCTCTTGCTCTAATGAAAAGGACCCCTTAGCTTGAGAACTCTGCCTGTATCTCTCCAGTCAGGATTAAGTAATATTCATTTTTATCATAACTTCACTATTAGATAATTATTCCTCCCATAGGCATATTGTATCTAATAGTAAAGTTATGATAAAAATAATGTGTACTACGTAGAATGCTGATTTTCAAAATTCCTTTGACACAGTTCTACACCAAAAGATACATTTATATTAATTTTGAGTAAAGGATGGTGAGGACTGATTTGTCATGGATAGGAAACTAAATTACAGACAAGTAACAGGAATACCAAGGGTTACTTTTTGTAGTTGGGATATATACAGAGCAGAAATTCTAAACATGGTCTGCAAGAATAAATCCTGGAATTAGTCTTATGTTATAAATTACCCCAACAGAGTGTACACAAAGGAATCTCTACGATTTCAAATGATACTGAGATACTCTGAAACCTATAGGAATAAGAAGCCAAATCAAAACAATTTTAAAGGATGGCACACTCTAAGGTAAAAGTTTCAGTCCCAGAAAAGAACACAGAAGCAAACCCAATATTTCTCTTTATAAAAAAGGACATCACCAGCATTTTCCTCCAGGGATTGCTTGTGCTTCTCATTGCTTTAACTAACAACAATATTTATAACAAGTTGGAAAAAATATATTTAAGTTAGGGTTCAAATCATTAAAAACAAAGAAGGAATAAATGGGCATCAAAGCCACAAATCAATGTCTTACACATGCATAACCAAAAAATCCACTGAGCAAAACAAACCAAGCCATCCTCAGAAACACTGACTCACTAACCTAAGAAAACACAAACACTGGTAAGAAGGAAGACTGAAAATATGAATTCTCATTTTGTCCTTCCTCTTGCCTCAAAATAATTTGCATGGAAAGAATCAACAAAAGGCCCTGAATCAAAATAAAGTAGACTAAAAAGATGAGTTTTCAAATGGTTAGTTCTATACCAGAAAACTCAATGAGGAATAATAAAAAAAATTAATAATGAATTTGGACACTTTCATGATTTGAAAGTTGGTCTGGGCAAGGGAATGGGAATCATTATAAAAGCATTTTTGCTAAGAGTTCAACTTTTTGCAGCAAGCTTGGTGGCCAAGTTTGGCGACATGACATTAGTATCATAAAATTGTAGAGTACTTGGAAAGCAGTATATTACACTGGAGATCACTACACTGGTTTGGCAGGTCTGGATACTTTTATTAGGAAACATTTCCATTGCAACAGCAAATATGATATTAAAGAGACCAGATCCAATTTTCAGGATGTTTATGATCAATAATTTCCTGTGACAGGAACTTGGGAGCCATGTCTCTGGGTGCAATGTGTATCCAGATATGTGAAATAAAGTACATAAACTATTTCTGCAGATTGAGTGCCTATCTGTATGCACAGCACCAGCTCTATAGAGTTGTAAAACAGCAGTGTGGAAGGACAAAGTCAAAAGCTCACTAGGCCAAATGGTAGTGATGATCACATCAATTTATCATATTTGCTCACTGAATTTCTTCTAAATGATGGAAAAAAGAAAGGGAGAATAGGCAATAAAATACTGGGTATGTCATGTAATCAATCTATTTTTTCAGAATATCCTTATATACATATACATATACATATACATACACATATTGTGTGTTTGTGTGTGTGTGTGTGTATCTAGATAGGGGAAGAGAGAAGGAGAGAGAGAGAAAATGCACGAAATAGACACACCCAACAACTGTACATGAAACATACATTTTCACATATACCTGTCTGTTATGGCCAAGGAGAGAGAGTGAGACACACAGTATATGTCTGAAGGCCATCACTAAGTATGCTAGATGGCATATTGTGGAATAAAGATGACTTTATAAATCTAATTAATAACAAGTGAAAGTCCTAACATTGATTAATTGATTTATTTGGTATTAGTAATTATAAGAGAAACTTTGGATATTATAATGGTTTATCATGGAGAAAACTAATGGTCTAGGCAAATATTTTATGGCTAAGACCTCGAAAGCACAGGCAACAAAAACAAAAATAAACAAATGGGACTAAATTAAACTAAAAGCTTCTGCACAGCAAAGGAAACCATCAACAGAGTGAAGAGCCAACCCGTAGAATGGGAAAAAAAATTGAAAATTATTCATCCAACAAGGACCAATATCCGGAATATTCAAGGAACTCAACTCAACAGCAAATAAATAAATAAATAAATAAATAAAAATAATCCCATTAAAAAGTGAGAAAGGATCTGAATAGATATTTCACAAAAGTGACATGCAAATGACCAACATCACTAATCATCAAATAAATGCAAACCTAAACCACAATGAGATATCGTCTCACCCCAGCTAGAATGGCTATTATCAAAATGACAAAAAACAAAATAGCAAATGCTGGCAAAGATGCAGAGAAAAGAAAACACTTAAACATTGTTGGTGGGAATGTAAATTAATATAATCATTATGGAAAATAGTATGACAGTTTCTCAAAAAATTAAAGAGAACCACTATATGACTCAGGAATCCCACTACTGGGAATATATCCAAAGAAAATTAAATCAGAATATGAAAGGGACAGCTGCACCTGCATGTTTATTGCAGCACTATTTACAATAGCCAAGTATGAAACCAACCTAAGCATCCAACAACAAATGAACAAAATAATTTGTTGTATATATACACAATAGAATGTTATTTGGCCATTAAAAAGAATAAGGCTGGGCGCGGTGGCTCATGTCTGTAATCCCAGCACTTTGGGAGGCCAAGGTGGGCAGATCATGAGGTCAGGAGATCGAGACCATCCTGGCTAACACGGTGAAACCCCATCTCTATTAAAATACAAAAAAATTAGCTGGGCATGGTGGCAGGCACCTGTAGTCCCAGCTACTTGGGAGACTGATGCAGGAGAACGGCGTTAACCCGGGAGACAAAGCTTGCAGTGAGCTGAGATCAAGCCACTGCACTCCAGCCTGGGTGACAGAATGAGAGTCCATCTCAAAAAAAAAAAAGAAAAAGTAAAAGAAAGAATAAAATTTTGAGGTTACTAGGTTAAGTGAACTAAGTCAGCCACACAAAGACAAATGTCACAGTTCTCACTCATATATGGTAACTAAAAATGTTGATCTCATGGAGATACTGTACAGAATGATAGATACTAGGGCCTGGGAGGGATATGATGGGGTGCGAGTGAGGGAGCTATGAAGAGTGGTTGGTTAATAGGTATAAACATACAGTTCAATAGAAGGAATACGTTCTAGTGTTCAACAGCGTGGTAGGATACTGTAGTTAACAATAATTTATTGTATATTTCAAAATAACTAGAAGAGTTGAAATGCTCCCAACACAACTGATAAATGTCTGAGATAATATCCTAAATACCCCAATTTGTTCATTATACATTGCATGCATGTATCAAAATATCACATGGACCCCATAAACATATATTATTATGTATCAATAAAAAAACTTCTGACAAATAGAATAAAGGAAAGAAATAAAAAGTCTATCTGAGGCATCTACAACTATCCAATTAGCCTTCCTAATTTTATAGATTACCATGTGAGTTCACGCCTAAACAGAGGTTTAGAGGCTTAGCTTCCCAGCACATATACTTCTACTGCTTAGTTAACAGATGGAGTCAGTATGTCAAATCTGTGACTTTAAATTCATTTCTATGTCAATAGAATATATTGCCTTAAATAGAGGGTTGTATTATGTTGAGGCAAAAGCAGAATGGCAAGGAAGAAAGCTCAACCTGGATACAAGTCTTTCAGTAAGACAAGTAGAATGAAGGAAAAAATGAGATTGAACCAGAAAATTGTGTCTCATATGTGGAATGATACTTCTTTGTTTTCCTGAAACTATCTTTATGGTACCCTGACAGAATAAACTGGTTCCAATTTCTATGAACTAATAAAATAAATAAGTGTGGCTCCAGGAAACATAAATGAATGAAGCTACTATATAAAGTGCAAAGTAAAGGGAAGAATTTTTATGGGGAAACATGAATATGCTAAATTTTTCACAATTGCATATGTACAGTTGTATCTCTATAGAAAGACACGAGTTATTATATTTAACTTCTTGTTACTTTTCAGTGTAAAGGAAAGAGTTACAGATCAAGGACTCTCCTCTTCAGCAAAAATACAGTAGACCCTGGATGGTATGGAAAGTGATTTGACAATCTGCATGTCTATGCAGCCTTACAGGCAGAGAATGTATCAGAGTTAGTCAAGATGCTTTGACTCATTACTTCAGATTGCAGTTCAATACGCTGAACCAATAAATACATTTTAAGATATATGTGAGTTTTGGAAATTACATTTTGATTGCTCAAAGAGGCAAGTGAATCTTTCACACTTGTTTACTTTGCCTGAATTGGATTACAGTGTATTAACATCATCGTTACAAATGTTAGTAAGTGGTACTCATACTGCTTGTACGTTTTTACCAGAACTTCCTCAAATAGTTGTGTTTATGGAATCTGGCAGGTTGGCATATGTTGCTTTCCATCCCTCTTCTAGTCCTAGCATGCTGAAAAGATCTGAAATATAAAAACCAAATACTGTTTGCACACAGTTATATTAATTCAGTGTTTGTACTATATATAAAGCTGGCAAACACTTTTCTCATCATGCAACCAAATATCTGACCTTGTCAGTGTCAGCCCCAGTTTAGGACTAGCATACAGTGGTGTCTTTTCTTCCTACTTCCTCAGTTCTGGTGGTCACACCCTGATGGTCGAACTTCTGAACTACAAAATCCATGCCATGGCCAAAATCAGCCTGAGATAAAACACACCCACCTTGTTTAATACAGAATACTCTGAAGATCCCATGAAAGGTGGAGGAGAAGGTAGAGGAGAGAGGGTAACATTTGCTTTTTACCACCATCTCTAAGACTTTCAATGACGTTTTATTTTTAGGTAAATATTACATACAATGAAATGCTCAAAATCAGCCCAAGAAAGTTCCCAAGGAACCATTCCAGGCAATCCCCATATGCCCACAGGCAACCATTGTTCTGATTTCTAATACCATATGTTAGTTAGTTCTCCCTGTTCATAATCTTCATGTAACTGGGATCATACGGTACTAAATCTTTTGTGTTTGACTTCTTTGCTTCAAACAATGTTTTAAGCCTCATCCCTGTAGTTGCATCCATAGTTTGTTCTTTTTGTCTATCCTGTTGACATTCCTCATGTACTTAGTATTCTGCAGTTGTTGAGTGTAAAGAAAACACCTCGGGAGAAATGAATGGAGAGAAAAGGGACGGGAAGAGAAGGAAGAGAAGAGACTGAAATTCTAACATTAAAGAGGTAGACAGGAGGATGGAGTTTGCAAGGAGCAGTCAGAGACATAGGAATAATATAAGAATTTTAAAGAATAATCGGTGTAGTAGTATGCTATTGATAGATCAATAAAGGTAAGGATTGAAAAGTACCTATGTTATTTGAAGTATCTATGTTATTAAAGTATCTATGTTATTAAAGGTAAGGATTGAAAAGTATCCATGTTATTAAAGTATCTATGTTATTAAAGGTAAGGATTGAAAAGTATCTATGTTATTTGAAGTATCCATGTTATTCTAGATACTAGAAACCTTGATGTGAGCAATTTAAATGGTCAGATAAAGGTGAAAGTCAATCTCTGATCCATGTAATAGCAAATGAGACAATAAGTTTAGATTACCTTCTCAATAAGCTAGAATATTAAAAAGAGGCAATAGCAAAATGGAAAACAGGTTTTAGAGAGAAGTATATTATATAAAAGGGTGAGTGTATAGTAAAGGGGTGGGACCCTAAGCTCTCAGGTTTATGGAACAAGACCACAGAAGAGCTAGGAGCCTCCACTGGAAAGAAGTAAGGAGAAAGGAATACAACTGATATTTGTTGATTTTTGGCTGGGTTCTGAGCACTCTGCTTTGTACCTAAATATATTATCTTATGTAATCATTCCCATCAGATAGACAGTATGCTCACTTTTCACATGAGGACACTTACACTATAATAATTCAATGACCATGACCCTCAACTAGTAAGTACCAGGGCCATGATTCAAATTCTGTCTGCATGATGTCAAAATACATGGTCTACACTGCATTACCCCTTCCTCTAAAGCAGGAGAAAAAGTATAAAGACAGATGTATGTGAACATGTGATTTTTAGGAAGAAAGGAGGAGTGGTGACATTGGCACTGTGAACCTCTGATAATCACAATGTTCTCTGAGAAACCTATCAAAAGGGGTTGGAGTAGTGGTGGAATGGGGACTCATGAAAGCTGGAATAGTGCCTGTAGTTTTCCAAGTTCAGACCAGAGGACAAAGCAGTTTAGAATGTGGCTAAGAGAAATGGGGAATTTGTATTGACTCTAAACCTCATCATTTCAAAATGTTTTCCCCTAGTATTCAGAAACTCAGATTTGGGGGCTAAAAAGGTGAAATATCATGTACCAAAATACCTCAATAAAATTTGAAAATAAATCACCTGTTGGAGACAGAGATAATGTTTGAAGGGAGGTTGCTGTAGACAAAGGAAGAGCTGGTGACCGAGGCATGAAATATTATTTGAGCAACATTCAGTAAGTAAGTCAGAGGCATGGCTGGTAATTCAGAGCTACTGGAGAGTGACGAGCTAAATGAGGAACAGAGGGTAATTAGTGTGAGATTCTCCCAGTGGTTTCCCTCTTTTTACCAGCAAAAGAAGGAACTTGCATATTGCCAGGAGAGCTGAGTAACTGACCCATTAGAAAGCGGCCTCCTGACCATTTTGCCAGGCTGAAGGAAGCAGCTAAGAGGGTGAGACTCCTTCAAGGTTGAGGGATCTTGGGATATACCTAGAGGAAAAACAAATGAGTAAAAGGAAGGCGTAGGATTCACGCCTGTAATCCCAGCACTTTGGGAGGCCAAGGCGGGTGGATCACTTGAGTCCAGCCTGGCCAACGTGGCGAAACCCCATCTCTACTAAAAATACAACAATTAGCCAGGTGGTGTGCATCTGTAGTCCCAGCTACTTGGGAGGCTGAGGCATGAGAATCACTTGAACCCAAGAGGCAGAGGTCGCAGTGAGCCAAGATCATACCACTGTACTCTTGCCTTGGTGACAGAGTGAGACTCTGTCTCGAATACATACATATATACTGTATGTATGTATATTCAGCAGAAATGAACATGACATTTGCTAGTATTTCAAATAGCATATATGAGCTTTAAGGGAAGATTCATAGTCTTTCATTCTAAGATTCTCCTACAGGCAACTTTCCCCAGTGTCTGGTCTGTTTCAATAATGACTTTCTGTTTATAAATAAAATTCTAAATTGAATGTCAAAAAAAATTCAAAAATAACTTTTTTAAAAAAGGAAGAAATGTTGGAAAAAATCAGAGTTGGCAATTCAGGCAAATTGGGAAGGAAAGAATACAGACCATAAGGTCGTGAAAAACTGAAGAAGTTTATGAGTGTGGTTCTATATCAGAGTTCCTAAACTTTCCTCAGAGCTTTGATGATTTTCTTAATACCATATTCCTACTCTTTCAGAGTACCTGGCCTGTGGGGATCTTCAGATCCCTAATATTTAAAGGGTATCACAGTTTCCCCTTCCATGTCCAGTTTCTTTTCTCAAAATTGCTTAAGACAGAAGTCCAAAGGATAAGTCAGAACTCAACAGAAATAAAATAGACAATAGGAGCATTGCTGGGAGTAGGGAGTATGGTTAGTCTTTGACAAGACAGAATGAAAGATGTTGACAGGCCTATGAGAAGATGTAATTGAAGGTGTATCACACAACAAATTTAAATAGATAAACATGTGCCCCAGGGCCTAGGTTAAATATAAAGAAGAGACCATAATAGCTATATGCAAAAGGGTTGCTAATAATGGGGTACCTACATAGATCAAAGGAAGATCAATTATGTGGGGAAGATTAAAATATATACTTACCAATCTCTGCAGCTTGAAACTTTGTGCTTAAATATAGCTCTACTTTCACCAAATTACAAACTATATCAAATACTATCATAAGTGCATTAGACTCTATCAAACTTGGTACTAAAATTGTGCACTCTTTCAAAGTATCAGAGTGGCTATAAAGCAGGAAATCTTGCTTTAAATGGGAAGATCAATAACCAATTTGTGTTGCAAGCAAGATATAGGCAGAAAAGGTACTGTAACCACAATCAATTTGACACTCCCCAATAATTACAAATTAGGAAAAAGGGGCCAGATCCCACGCAGATAAATGCAGATGCACCACACATGTCAAAACCCAACAGGCTGAAAAGTCTTCGCTATATTAATTTATAGCTATGTTAATATGAAGAGGAAAGTGATTGGACTGGAACAGTGGCAGCCCTAAGATTTTTATATACAATGGGCTTAAAATAATCCAGAATATTGAAGTGGAGTGTATATAACAAATACTCTGTATTTAGATGATATGTTTATATGAGTTGGCTTGTTGGGCAAGGGCTAATAGAATTCAGAAAAGTTAAAGCCCTTTTCCTAACACCATTTGATACAACCACAAAACTAAAACTAGTATTAACAGAATACTGTTTTCCAATATACGTAATAATTTTTAACTTTTAATCATCAACATTCACTTTCCCTTCTGAATAAAACAAAGATTTCAAGCCTGAAGCCCCAAATACTTACTGGCTACATCACTATGCTGAGATGGGATGTGGAGGATGCTTACATTATTGAGTATTAAATGGTTCATTGCCTCAATGCTTGAAAGGCACATTAAAGCTACAAACAATATGGGCCAATCTACACAACTGGCTAATTATCAAGCCTCCAGGGAAAGAAGTTCCCACTTAGAGCCCCATGATAATGTCTAAGCAACACTATTAGAAATAATACTTTATTTTGTAATCCCCAAGTTTAACAGCAAACACTGTTTTACTGTGATGTTGTCTGAAACCTATTAACTGCCAATGACACCACCAGGATTAATTTCTTAGTAGCACCGCATTAAGAAACAATTGTATCCAGTGTTTCCCTAACATCTTGTTATTCCATATGACTCAAGGAAGAGCAATAGTAACATATGAAACCTTTATAGTATATGAAATTCAAAGGCCCACATCATCAGTGGTAGTTGCCAAGGCCCACATGAGTTAAAGTTCTTGGGACTAGCACTGACTCAAAGACACTAAACAGCCCTGAAGACTGGTGTGAGCGCCAGCCCCCAAGATGCCTCCAATGTACTGACCTCCTGGTAGTCACACCAGTGTGTAGTCCCTACCACATTTACTCATGGCTAGCCTAGGTAACCAATAGAATACCTACAGAAGTACAGGTGTAATACTTCCAAATCCAGGTCATAAAAGATATTAGGATTTCTGCTTTGGCCTCTCTTAGAACACTAACTCTGTGGGAAGCCAGTGTCCATGTCATGGAAACACTCAAGCAGTCCTGTGACAAGACCTTGGTGGGAAGGAATTGAGGTCTCCCACCAACAAACAAAACATACTTAAAAGCTGGGTGAGTGAATCACCTCAACAGCAGATTCTTGAGCTCCAGTCAAATCTTCAAATGGCAACAGCCTGGGCTGGCATCTCAACTGCTACCTCATGAAAGACATCTGAGCTATAACTACCCAGCTAAACATTCCCAAATTCCTGAAGTGGAGAAATGGTGAGAGAAGGGGAAAAATGCTTATTATCATCTTAAGGCATTTTGTTTTATAATAATTTGTGACATAGTAATAGATCACAAGTACAAGTGAGTTCTGTCCTTTTCATTTTGACATCCTAGAGTGTGACATCCTTAGGTAATCCTCTTCCGTGTTTCACCAATATCCCAGGCTTATGTCTGT